CCAAATGGATTGGGGGGGCTGATCGGGGGCCAGCAGCTTGCGGGAGGGACCATGGGTGGTGGGGGCAAGGGGGAGAAAAAAGGGGGGACATCTGTAATACTATCAATAATGAAAATGATGCTTAAAAAAGAATTTTGATATGTATCAGCAATATGATAATAATTGGTCTGCTTTATTGAGAGTATGTATACTATTTGTCATACTAATTATTTTACGTAGGCCATCTTTTTAAAAATTATGACTCTATGAGAGAGGAATTATTATTATCGTGCCCATGTTATAGATTGAGAAGCCAAGGCTCAGAGAAAGAAACTTATTCAAGGTTACACAGCTAATAAATTGTAGGGCTGGAATTTGAACCCAGGCAGTTTGATTCTAGAGCTCATGGTCAGAACTACTATACCAAATTGCCTCCTGATGTTTATTTAAAGCAGCGGTTCTCAACCTGTAGGTCGCGAACAATGAAAATACATCCTGCATATCAGATATTTACATTACGATTCATAACAGTAGCAAAATTAGTTATGAAGTAGCAACTAAAATAATTTTATGGCTGGGGGTCACCACAACATGAGGAACTGTATTAAAGGGTCATGGCATTAGGAAGGTTGAGAACCACTGATAGACTAGAGGCTCAGTGCACGGGATTTGTGCACTTGTGGGGGCATGGCCTGCGGGATCTGCCCGCTGTGGGAGCACTACTCATTCCGGTCAGCCAAGCTGCTGTGGACCGGCCCTCTGAGTGGCTGCTCCCTGGTCCGGCATCTTCTGTGGAGCTGGAGCACTCGCCTCTCCAGGGGACCCAGTCGGGGTTGGGCCCAGGGACAATAGCACTGAGAGGCGGCGGAGTAGGCCTCAGTTCCACAGCGGTCACGGACCCACTTCCCAGCCTTCAGGGTCAGCTCTGTGAGCCCTGAGGCAGCACTGCATGGCCTGCAGGCGTCCAGAGGAGGCAGCAGGGAGCGAGTAGGAGGATCCTGGAGTGAGGAGGCAACCATGGCAGCCCAGGTTCCTGCTGGTTGGCCAGGGTTCGCAGAGGGAGCAGCTGCTCCTCCTGGTCAGCCGAGCGGTGCTCCCACTGTGGTAGCACACTGACCACCAGGGGGTAGCTCCTGTGTTGAGTGCCTGCCCTCTGGTGGTCAGTGCTTGTCATAGCAACTGTCCTGGTTGTTCCACTCAGCAGGGGTCCTCAAACTTTTTAAACTGGGGGCCAGTTCACTGTCCCTCAGACCGTTGGAGGGCCAGACTATAGTTTAAAAAAAAAAACTATGAACAAATTCCTATGCATACTGCACATCTTATTTTGAAGTAAAAAAACAAAACGGGAACAAATACAATATTCGTATTTGCATGTGGCCCGCAGGCCGTAGTTTAAGGACCCCTGTTCCACTGTTTAGTCACTGGGTTTTTATTATACAGGACAGGAAGTAATGTTTCCTTAAAAGGTAGAGCTAGAATTACCAGAACATTTCATTCCAGAGATGGGATGGTATAGTGCAGTGGTCGGCAAACTCATTAGTCAACAGAGCCAAATATCAACAGTACAACGATTGAAATTTCTTTTGAGAGACAAATTTTTTAAACTTAAACTATATAGGTAGGTACATTGTTATTAACTTAATTAGGGTGCTCCTAAGGCTTAGGAAGAGCCACACTTAAGGGGCCAATGAGCCACATGTGGCTCGTGAGCCGCAGTTTGCCCACCACGGGTATAGTGGAAAGAGCGTAAGTTTTAAAGCTAAACAGAACTGTGTTCAAATTCTGACTCTGCCAACACCTATGTGACCTTAGGGAAACTGAGGATCACTTAACCTCTTTGATCCTCAGTTTCTCTATAAAACTGAAATGTAATGCCTACGTTACACAGTTGAAAAATGAAATCACATGCAAAATGCTTGGAAGACTATATAGATGCTTTAATTGGTGCTATTATTATTATTCAGAACTGAGCATCTTTGATAATCCTGGCAGACTCATCTGGGAGAACAAGAGAAAAGCAAGAAGCCAATTAATGAAGTTGATTAATTGATGAAGTGGCACAGTTAATGGAGCATATAATAATATGAATTTTGAGTTTTGCACTCTGGATCAGTTAGATGGGCATCATCCCATGTACTGAGAGGTCACTGGTTCAATTCCTGGTCTGGGTACATGTCCAGGTTGTGGGCTGTCCTCATCAGGTGGCAGGCAATCGGTGTTTTTCTCTCTCTCCCTCTCCCTTCTTCTCTAAAATCAATAAAAACATATTTAAAAAATAACTTTTAGTTTTATCTTACAATCAATGGAAACTATAGGAGGATTTTAAACAGTTGAATGACGATGATATTTGCACTTTTTAATGACAAAAGTACTACACACGTCTTAAAACTTTCAAACAATATAGAATTGCTTAAATGCAAGTCCCCCTTACCCCACACATACATTTAGAAAGATCACTTTAGCATCTGGATAAAAGCAGAGAAATAATAGTAATAATATTTCCCTAATCCAGGCAGGAACATTTGGAGGATTCAGTTCAGATAGTGGAAGTGGGTATGGACAGGAGGAGACATTAGGAATATAGGGGAGCTGTGAGAGAAATCTGGAATAAAGTGGAAAGGGAGTAAAACATGATAGAAAAGGAGGTAGGGTATAGAAAAATGTGCCAATGACAGGATACTGTGGGATTCAGAGCAGCAAAAGTGACTGTAAGGAAGATAGCAGAACTAATCATGTTGAATGGGCTGCAGAGAGGGAATGACATAAATGGCTCTTCCCAGTTCTATAGCTCCAGTGTCTGGGTAACCCCTGGAGTTGTTTATTGTAGCCTAATTTAAGGAACATAAGCATACCCCTAAGTCAGAAATATTTAAAAGATTACTCACAAATAGAATGTTCTAGAAGTTTTAATTGGAAGTTTTAGAAACAAGCCAAAAGGGAAACAAAAGATAAAATGTCACTTGAATTTTAACACCCTACTTTATTAAGGAAAGGAGAAAAGAGTGGAAAGGAAATAAGGAAACAGTGGGGGATCCAGGGACTCAGAAATATTTGTTAAACTGTACTTCAGACCTATAGTTAACTTCTTAAGGCTGAAACCCGTAGTCAGCAAACTGTGGCTCGCGAGCCACATGCGGCTCTTTGGCCCCTTGAGTGTGGCTCTTCCTAAGCCTTAGGAGTACCCTAATTAAGTTAATAACAATGTGCCTACCTATATAGTTTAAGTTTAAAAAATTTGGCTCTCCATCGGCCTGCGTACTGAAGGGGCCCGGGGTCGATTCCGGCCAAGGGCATGTACCTTGGTTGCGGGCACATCCCCAGTCAGGGGTGTGCAGGAGGCAGCTGATCGGTGTTTCTCTGTCATCGATGTTTCTAACTCTCTATCCCTCTCCCTTCCTCTCTGTAAAAAATCAATAAAATGTATTTTTTAAAAAAATTTGGCTCTCAAAAGAAATTTCAATCATTGTACTGTTGATATTTGGCTCTGCTGACTAATGAGTTTGCTGACCACTGGCTTAAACCATTTGCGACATAACATGACTGAATTATGTACTAAACCAGTGTTGTTTAAATTAAAAGTCTAACATTACAATATTGCTAGATGTACCTTGTCACTACAAAGGAAACTACCAACACTGCCTAACTCTCTTTCTAAACAGCCATCCTTCCTCATCATTGTGTGGCTGGATACACCACCAGGCCAAAAGAGCTGACCCCTGTTTTTCAAGAACTTTCTTCTTTTTCTTTCCCTTAGGAAGGTCCTAAGGATGCTTTCTTTTCTTCTTAAAGCTGCCAGCACTGCGGGGTTCTTCCCATTAGATTTACTATTATTCCTTACTCACCTCATTCTTCCTATTTGAGACAAACAAATAGGCCTTTAGGATGTTTAGGGTTTTGTTTTGAGTCACTATGTGAAAATAGACATGTGCAACACAGAATAAATATGAAGAAATTGCAAAAGTTACTGAATTTTACAAAATTCTATAGTCGCCTCTGATTCACATTCCCTTTCTCCCTGCTACGGTGATTAACAAGATCCCACAGTCTTTATTCCAGAGTGGGATTTCATTAAGCTTCAGACTTCCCACAAAACTCAGAAACCATAAAATAAATGGTTCTTAATTTTGTCTACATAAAAAATCCTAAACAGCAAAACTTCCATAAGCAAAGTTAAAAGAACAACTACAAATGGGAGCACATATTTGAAACTTCCATAAATGACT